ATATTCTTTGAATATAAATAAATTATCCTTATTTATCTATCAACTTGTGTATATTTAGATATGTGGTAACATATCACATGAGCTCAAAGGACTCAGGAGAGTAATATTCTGATGGTTATATTTCCTCCAGGTATTTAAACTCATTTCATATTATTTGTCAAGTTAGTTAAAGTTGCCATATCGGCTGGAGGCACTGTATCACAATTCTATTCATAATTCCGGCACCATCCCTTATATTACTAATTTAAATTCACATAGCCACTCCCTTCAAGTACATTGTTTTTCACTGTCATATTATCATCACGACAATATGCAAAATAAGAAAGAAGGGGAAAATAGGAAAATGAAAAAATGGGACTTTTAATGCGTTACCTTTTCAGAAATACCAAACAAAAGGTACTATAAAAAATATGCATTTTATTATGTATACCCAAACAGTATCAGTGTTAAAATCTCAACTATAAAAGCAAGGATTAGAACATCCTTACAACAATAGTAACACCAGCACCCTGTAGTGGCCAGTTCATAACCTCTAATCAATCCTAGATCTGTGTCAGAAACAAATGCAACAATATTTTCAGGTTACCCTATTAAAAAAAAAAAACAATACAAGGGGATGATGCCTTTAGAAAAAAAAAAGTGCCGAAGAAGATATGCCTGGGTACTGAAAATAAGTCTCCTGTCCACAAGAAAATAGTCTGATAATGTATTACATTAAATACTACTGACGGGGGTGCATGCGCGGTCGGCTCCGGGATGACAGCTTGTGAGTGAGAGCTCCGTCCCACCGCGGCTCACACTAGACATGGGGATACTGCAGATCCCCAGAGACATAAGGGGTAACAGAGGCTCCTACCACCCTCCAGATCATGCCCCGACGCCGCAGATCACCAGGGCAGCCAGGGAAGCTGACAAGCTTCTTCCCTGCTCTCAGCCCCTGCATCCAAGATGGCGCCGGCTCCTCTGCTGACAGTCTCCTCACACAGGCAGAGGGAGACACAGCTCAGACCACAGACCCCAGGCTCAAGGCACCACTATACCCAGGAGACCCGGGTGAGTCCTCTCCACCCCTGTATCCTTCTACAAGTAGTCCTGCTAAGTCCAGACCCAGACTGGACATACAATTTGTTTCTGACCTGCAATCTTCCTATCCTTTTACAATTACTGCCAATTCTACTCCATCTTTAATTGAAAATTTTCCTGCTTCTGACCATCCTATCACTGAAATTTCAATGAAAAGTATGCTACTATCCCTGCGACAAACACTACATGACGACCTGACAGCAACTATATCGCAAATCTCATCCGCGGTACAAAATCAGGACCGACGCATCTGCCATATTGAGAACAGAATGGGGGAAATGTTCACGGCACAGAATGACCTCATAGACGCACACGCAGACCATGGAGCTGACATAAAACAAATTAACCTAAAATTGGCAGACCTAGAAGACCGCTCCAGGCGCAACAATATTAAATTCCACGGAATACCGGAATCTATCACCACAGGTGACATAGTACCTTACTTCCAGCAATACATGAAACACCTCATCCCTTCTCTAAGAGACGTGGAGCTTGCCATAGATCGTGCACACAGGATACCAAAAACATTGTTCCTACCGTCCTCAATACCTAGAGATATCCTACCACGTGAAAGAAAAAATCATGACGGCTGCTTGAAACCCTACCTCAATTTCGACTTCTCAGGAGAATATCAAGCTATTTGCAGATCTATCCAAAGCTACACACTTCTCAACCGCAAGAAATTTATTTACCATAACTAAAGCCCTGCGGAACCATGGAATCGGCTACCAATGGGGTTTTCCCACGAAGCTCATCGTTAAGCATCAAGAAGGCTCTACACGGTCAAAAACCTAGAAGCAGGCATAGGACTCCTGAAGACATGGAACATCCTACCCGTGGACTCCTACCAATCCACTTCAACCTGACCACAACAAATGGATGCAGAATAATCCTAATCCAAAAATCCCTAACACCATTTACTACCCAACACACTGGGTATCACCTCACAACCGCTAAAGGCTGACAGACAGCCCCTAACCAAACATTTCTAAACTTCAGGTTTTTCGTCAACATGACTCCTTTCTTGAGTCATGTATGTTTCTGTTCCCCGTTACACAGTAGCAACATCTGCTACATATGTTACTTGTATTTTTCACAAGTATTTTTTTAACCTCCTACCCACCTCATACCACCCGTCACTCACATCAACCTCCTTTCCCTCAAACACCTCTATTACAAGCGGAAATAACCTCTTCAAACCAGCGAATATATCAAGATCACTACTTCTTCTCTATGGAAGCTTTACGTCCACGACAAAGAAATATTCAACTTTTCACACAACTTACGAATTATCTCTCCTACTCCATGCAACCCGTATATACCCAACAATATGATTAGCTTCATCATCTTTGAATGTCCGAGGCCTCAACTCTCCTTACAAGAGATCTCTACTGCAAAAAGAAGCTCGCTCTTTGCAAACTGATGCTCTTTTCCACTTTACCTCCTCCAAAATTCCAAAATTTAACCTACACCACTTCTCATCAATATATATGGCAACCAACTCCAAGAAAAAGAACGGCGTCATCACCGCCATAAGAGACTCCCTCCAATTCCAATACTGTATATCTCAGAACTAAGCAGATCCACAAGGCCGCTACCATATTTTAATATGCAAGATCAACTAAATCCTATACACCCTGGTCAATATTTATAGGCCAAATACCAACTAGCTCCAATTCTACAACAAACTAATCACAATCATTACTACCCAGTGACAAGGCAGGCTACTACTAGGAGGAGACTTCAACATCATAAATGACCCACTCCTGGACTCTTCTTCCAGTAAACGCTCCTTTAAACATGTTTTTAATCGTTTTTTCTACACAACAATGACCTCTATGATATATGGCGATGCCAACACGGTACAGAAAAAGACTACACCTATTATTCTCCGGCCCACCTCTCCTATTCCAGAATTGACTTTTTTATCACAGACAAGTGGACCTTACAACATATCACTTCCTCCAAGATCGGCACCATAACATGGTCAGACCACGCTCCAATTTCCATTACTCTGGACCACAATCAACATTCTACGATCCCTCGACTATGGAGATTGAACTCAACCTTACTGAAGAATCCAGACCACAGAAAACATATACTAGACGCTCATAATTTTTTTTTTGAAATGGATGAATCACTTAATATCTCTATACCTATACTATGGTCTACTTACAAGGCATACATGAGAGGTATTCTTATTCAACTAAATGCCCGTATCTCTAAACAAAGAAACTGTTAGGAATGGACTGGCCAGCAATGGTGGGACTCACCTGCCTTTTGATCTGCAGTACCAGGGCTGGCCAGCGGGTGCTCCTAGCAATCAGAGACTCAACCTTTCAGCCAGCTAACACCTGGAACTGATGATACTGGTGTATTTAAGGGATGGCCAGACTTGCAGACTCTGCCTTGGTGTTGTGTTTGTCCTGGGCCCTGTATCTGTCCTGCATCCTTTTTCTGTTCCTTTGCTGACTTCTTCCTGCTCTGATCCTGGCTTGTGACCTGACCATCCCTCTGTCTGACCCTCTGTACTACGCTGCTTGCTACCTGTTCTGATCCCTGGCTTGTGACCCGGACCATCCCTCTGCCTGACCCTCTGTACTATGCTGCTTGCTACCTGCTGAACCTGGCCTGTGACCCCGACCATTCTCCGCTTGCTCCCCCTGTACCTACCTGCCCAATTGATATTGACCCGGCCTGCCTGACGACGCTTGCTTGTATATACTGTTATCTGTGGGTGGTTTGGTTTGGTTTGTTTGCACCGTATTATGTTTTAGTATTGCACTGCGTTTATGTTTGTATTGTTAGTGTTTAATAAATTATATTGTTTATAACATATCTGAGGTCTGCGTTTCCCTGCTTCAGTCACACACCTCTGGTCATACCTGGGAGCCCTGACATTACACCAAGGCCAATCCTGACCAGAAGTGGCTGCACAGGGAAGCCATCTTGGCTTGTTGATGGGAAGGATGGATCTTGAGGAGGTTGAGTATTTATATCTGCTAGTGTTTGATGACAGGGAGTATGCTTATCAAACTCTGAAGGAGTATACCCGGGATGAATTGCTAGAATGTATACGGCTCGCTCATGTTCTAGTAGATCAGGGCACAGTATTCTCTGAGGTGCAGCCATTGATTGAGGTTTGTGCAGAGTTGGTTTCATCTGGTTCCCCCGAATGCAGGGATGAATTTTTGCCACCATTTAGTGCAGACCAGGTAGAGTCCCTGGTGTGGTTATTAGAGGATGATGTGGGTTACTTTCTGGAGCGTTATTCCACATGTTCACCACAGACACTGAGAGATTGTATAAACGCAGTGCAGTCATTGACCAGACAGGCTTTGTGTAAGCTCAGCTTTGTTCAACCCCTACTGCAGACATGGACAGATTTGTTGCACCCAGCCTCAGTCAGCTTACAAAGACCCAGTCCTGCTTCTAACTCTACTCCTGTATTCCCACCAGCTCCTCCAGTTACAGCCCAGTATACTTGGCTATCTACCGCATGTCAGTACCTGTTCCCACTCGCTGCACCTATCCTGCCTTTAACCCTGTAAAAAAGCCCTCTGTAGCAACTGCTCCCTCTCCTGTTCCATCCTCCAGTTCTTCTCTGTCTCCAGCTGCTCCATTCGTTTGCAGACCTGCGTTTACTTGCAGTGCTCCAGTAGTTAAAACCAGAAAAAAGCGAAAATTCTTTCCAACCAATACCATCCTGCCAGTATCCAAACCAGTGAGCCTGCCTTCCATGGTTCAGACTGATGCCTGTACGCAGCCTGATGCCTCTACTCGGCCTGAAGCCTCTACTCGGCCTGATGCCTCTACTCGGCCTGAAGCCTCTACTCGGCCTGAAGCCTCTACTCGGCCTGATGCCTCTACTCGGCCTGATGCCTCTACTCGGCCTGAATCCTCTACGCGGCCTGAAGCCTCTCCTCGGCCTGAAGCCTCTACTCGGCCTGATGCCTGTACTCGGCCTGATGCCTGTACTCGGCCTGATGCCTGTACTCGGCCTGATGCCTCTCTTCAGCCTGAAGCCTCTACTCGGCCTGATGCCTCTACTCGGCCTGATGCCTCTACTCGGCCTGAAGCCTCTACTCGGCCTAATGCCTCTACCCAGCATGATGAACTGATCCAGCCTGACGATCCTATTAGGCCAGTTGACTCGATGCCCGCTGTTGATCCAGATGATCCGGTACCTGATCCGGTGCCCGCTGTCGTGCCAATTGACTCAGAGCCCACTGTCGTACCTAGTGACTCGGTGCCCACTGCCTTGCCAGATGACGCGGTGCCCGCTGGCAAGCCAAATGACCTGATGCCTGGTGACCTAGTGTCCGCTGTCATACCTGATGACCCGATGCCCGCTGTCGAGCCAGACAATCCGGTACCTGATGACCCGGTGCCCACTGTCGTGCCTGTTGACTCGGAGACCACTGCCTTGCCAGATGACGCGGTGCCCGCTGTCGAGCCAAATGAACTGATGCCTGGTGGCCCGCTGCCTGCTGCTTCGCCTGGTAATCCGATGTGCCTCTGCCCGGAGTCCTGCCCGATGTGCCTCTGCCCGGAATCCTGCCCGATGTGCCTCTGCCCGGAATCCTGCCCGATGTGCCTCTGCCCGGAGTCCTGCCCCGATGTGCCTCTGCCTGGAGTCCTGCCTGATGTGCCCTCTGCCCGGTGTGCCTCTGCCCGGAGTCCTGCCCGATGTGCCTCTGCCCGGAGTCCTGCCCGATGTGCCTCTGCCCGATGTGCCTCTGCCCGGAGTCCTGCCCGATGTGCCTCTGCCCGGAGTCCTGCCCGATGTGCCTCTGCCCGAGTCCTGCCCGATGTGCCTCTGCCCGGAGTCCTGCCCGATGTGCCTCTGCCCGGTGTGCCTCTGCCCGATGTGCCTCTGCCCGGAGTCCAGCCCGGTGTGCCGCTGCCCGGTGTCCTGCCCGGTGTGCCAGTCTTTGATATCCCGCCAGTTGCCAGACCCGGGCGGTGGAACATTTTGCCCAGCTAGGACTGTTTGGAGCGTCCTGAGGCCGCTCCTTGAGGGGGGGGGTACTGTTAGGAATGGACTGGCCAGCAATGGTGGGACTCACCTGCCTTTTGATCTGCAGTACCAGGGCTGGCCAGCGGGTGCTCCCAGCAATCAGAGACTCAACCTTTCAGCCAGCTAACACCTGGAACTGATGATACTGGTGTATTTAAGGGATGGCCAGACTTGCAGACTCTGCCTTGGTGTTGTGTTTGTCCTGGGCCCTGTATCTGTCCTGCATCCTTTTTCTGTTCCTTTGCTGACTTCTCCTGCTCTGATCCTGGCTTGTGACCCTGACCATCCCTCTGTCTGACCCTCTGTACTACGCTGCTTGCTACCTGTTCTGATCCCTGGCTTGTGACCCGGACCATCCCTCTGCCTGACCCTCTGTACTATGCCGCTTGCTACCTGCTGAACCTGGCCTGTGACCCCGACCATTCTCCGCTTGCTCCCCCTGTACCTACCTGCCCAATTGATATTGACCCGGCCTGCCTGACGACGCTTGCTTGTATATACTGTTATCTGTGGGTGGTTTGGTTTGGTTTGTTTGCACCGTATTATGTTTTAGTATTGCACTGCGTTTATGTTTGTATTGTTAGTGTTAATAAATTATATTGTTTATAACATATCTGAGGTCTGCGTTTCCCTGCTTCAGACACACACCTCTGGTCATACCTGGGAGCCCTGACAGAAACCAACAAATAGATGAACTCTTCATGTCAATTAAAACAAAAAGAAGAATTAAACAAAACATCCCCAAACCCCTCAACCTCTACTTCCCTCGCCACGGATAGAAACAAACTCAGAACCCTCCTACTTTATAAATACGACCTCAACCTTCTTCAAAAAATGAAAGCTAAATTTTACTCCATGAGCAACAAAGCTAACTCCCTATTAACCAAAATGATTAAACAGGGATGCCTAAATGCCAAAATATCCTCAGTTCATCACCCAACCACACATACTTTAACTACATATCCACGAGAAATAGCTAATGCCTTTGCGACCTATTACCAACAACTATATAATCTTAAAAACGATCCTGACACTATCCAGTCAACACTAACATCGATACAACAATTTCTTCACACAACCAAACTCCCCCAACTCTCCCCATCCCAACTTGATGCTATATCTACTCCGATATCTATCACAGAAATAGAAAATATCACCCAAAACACTCCCTCTTAACAAATCTCCAGGAAACTACGGTTATACGAATGAATTTTACAAATATTTTGCCCCTAATTTAGCACCATGTCTATCTAAACTCTTTAACCATGGTGCCACCATTGGCATATTCCCCAAAGACATGCTACAATCCATAATAACAACAATCCCAAAACCTGGTAAAGACCCGCAAATCGTCCAAAATTATAGACCAATCTCCCTACTTAATACAGACATAAAACTTTATGCAAAAATTATAGCTCGCAGATTACTCCCTTATCTTCCCAACTTAATACACCTAGACCAGGTAGAATTCATACCAGGTCGCCAAGCACCCGATGCCACCAGAAGACTTATATCCTTCTCCACCATTTAGAACACACCAAACAGCCCTCAATACTCATCCTTTGATGCAGAAAAAGCATTTGATTGAATACATTGGCTATTTTATGCGATTGACATTACAGAAATTTGGAATTACAGGATAGATGCTGACAGCCATCCTAGCACTGTGTTCCTCCCTTCAGCCAGAGTATTAACAGACGGAGCATTATCAGACCCCTTTGATATCACCAGTGGTACTAGACAAGGGTGCCCACTATCCCCCATCATATTTGCATTGCTCATCGAACCCCTAGCCTCTAAACTCAGAGATAACCTGACATTTACTGGCATCAAATACCTTAACACTGAACATAAAATCAGTCTATTTGCAGACGACATCATATTGATGATTACCAACCCAACCAAATCCCTCAAAATAATACGAACGCACCTTCAACAATACTCAACGGTTTCCTATTATAAACTCAATGAACCCAAATCTTCAATCTTAAACCTCCACACACCACACCAAACCCAAATATTACTTGCTAAACAATTCCCCTTCTCCTGGGAAAAAAATAACATTCCCTATTTAGGAATCAAACTCACTTCAACAACGGACCAACTATTCTCATCAAAGCACAAAACACTACTCAAAACTATACCCCAATAAATTGCCACCCTACGCACCTCAGAACCTTCCAAATTAGGCCGAGTTGCGTTCTTGAAAATGTACATCCTACCAAAAATCCTGTACATTTTTCGCACGCTCCCCATACCAGTTCCTAACACCTTCCTTTCCAAATTGCAATCGATTCTCTCAAGATTTTTATGGAATGCTAAAAAACCTAGATGCACTACCAATCTCTTAATACACCCAACTTCCAAAGGAGGCGCTGGCCTTCCACATTTAAAATCCCACTATAACGCTATTCTTCTGGACCAAATATATTTTTGGTGGAACCCAACTGGAGGAAAAATTTGGTCTACAATGGAAACCTTACCCTTCCATCCACTTAAACCCCAAAATTTACTACTCCTAATTCCAACACTGCTACAAACCAATTACCAATTAAAACACCCATGTATCCAAGCTGCCCTTCAAGCCTGGTGTGATCTTCTGACCATGGAATACACAGACCCCAAGCGAATTCTCGCCCCAATTGAAATGTTACACTCCATTACACCCTCACTGGACCTATCCCAATGGGAAAAAACGAAACATACACAAAAATAACAGACCTCTATAAAGACCACGCGCCTGCAACCATTTCAAAATCTCCAATCCATGTTCAATTTGCCATCCACGGAATACTTCACCTACTTAGGAACTGCCCACTGTATGCAAACAAAGAGTATACCTCACACCACAAAAATCCCTAATACTGCCTACCTTTTCTTTACAAAACCACAATACCCAGGTAAAGGTATCTCCACTTTCTACAAATACAAAATGAACATGCAATTTGCTTTAATATCTACCTCTTTATCCAACTGGGAAAAAAAACTCCTTAGAAACAATTACATCACAACGCATGGAGCACAGCATTTATTACCACTTACAAATCATCCCGCTGCAGCTCACACTGGGAAGCATACTTAAAAATCCTCCACCAACGGTACCTAACCCCAGTCAAACTTTCCATGTATTACCCAAAAAACACTCCGCCTCTTGCTGGCGACAATGCGGAGACAGGTTCAACACTACACATATTATGGTCATGCAAATCCATTAAATCCTTTTGGAAACGTGTCTTCCAACTACTCTCTGAAATAACCCAAACAGCGATCAACCCAAAACCTTTACTTGTGCTTTTACACATTGAGATTAAAAATTCTCCTGTACCTCTCGCACCATCATTGTCCACATACTTTTTGCAGCAAAAATCACTATAACCAGATTATGGAACACCACTACTACTGCCCCTTCTCTCAAATCACTAATTACAGATCTTAATTTCCAATGCAAAATGGAAAAAAGATCGGCCCTCAACAACTCCACCCAACACAAATTCAATACCCAATGGACTAGCTGGTTAAAACATCCCAGTACAAGCCTGATTTTGTATAAACAATTGAACTACCCATCCATTTTAGACTGGTACTCCACTCCCCATCCCATTACAACTCCCTCCTCCTCTCCTTACCCTCTTCCTGTTCTCCCCATGTTTACACCCCTCTACCATTTTCTACACCTCAAAGTTCAGTATATCCATATCTAACTATGATACTATTGCCTTACTCCTAAATTGTCCCCAGCCAAATGGTGGGTACACATGTTGCTATACTGTATTGTATGACTACAATTTTTACTGAACTGAACGTCATTATTATAACATTACCGTTATTGAAAAATCTTCAATAAAAACATTTTGAAATAAATACTACTGACATTTTTTTTAAACACTACTAAAATTTATATATATTTTTATATATATATATATATATATATATTTGTAAACACTTTAGACCCCTAGTAATGTATTTCACTCAATCATAAACTGAAGTAGGTCTTAATTTAAATGTGCATATTTGCGGGGGGGGGGGGATGTATTTTACATATCCCTGGTCACACATGAACTATTGTATTGTATAGTTAACATTACCTAATGTCTTCAGTCATGTTCTGTTGGTGAACAATAAAATTTCCTTCACTGACTTAACTCTATTAATAGGTATGCAGCAAATGGAAAACCATTGTGTTTAAAACTCATTAGTGTTACCATAAAATAAAAAATTATATATTTATAAAATGCAAAATACAACAGGTCGGAAATATATATAGAGGATTGGTTATAATATATGAAAGATGATAAATGCGTGCTATAAATATTAGACAGAAAATACTGTGTATCTGCTTTATAAAGTCTGTGATAAAAGTGGAGATGCTACCCAATTCTAATGATTACCCTCGAGCTTTCATTTTCTGGCCCATCCTTGGACAAATGAGAGCAGACCTTTAATTGTTTGTTATGGGAGATACAGACACATTTTCTGTTCTGTTAAATTGGGCCCAATGGATATACAGTACATGGCTTTCATAGTTGACTGAATCATGAGTGTGTTTAGCAAACTATATTATATAAATTGAATATACTGAATAGGTTAATTGGAACCCAGAAATACAGATCTTTATTATTGATGTAAGAACCCTGCTATAGGAACTAAAAGGTTTTAGTGTTTTTGTAATCTGCAAGAAGCAGTTAGGCTGAAGCCAGCTGAAATTTTCCTTCACCTCTGAGCATGTCTCAACTTGTTCACAGCTTCTTGCAACTGTTGTTGAGCATGTTCAATTTATATGTGCTAAAAGGGTTAGCAACCGTAGTTGTGAATGTTTATTGGTACAATCAATCATTGAGAAGTGTGTCATAGTCTTGTATGCTATGGAATTGTTACATGTTTTGGAACCACATTTCTAGAAGGTCTTTGTCCCATTTGCTTCTGCTCAGAGAGGTTGTGTGCTGCAGCAGTCTTTTTGAGGAGGCCCTGTGAGACAAACAGAATCTTCAGCAGTTCTACAAACACATTGGTGCTCAAGTTTTCTCTAGAATAAGTATTCTCTAGATGAAATGGTGCCCAAGTTATTTTTGCTTACACCCTCATAAAAGAACAAGCTCTGAAGAGGATGTACTTAGAAACTACACTTATGTGGATGGACTGGGACATCTTGATTTGGCATACTATGCCAGCTGTTATGTATTTACCAAGACTTTATTGTAAACATCAGTTTACATTTCTATTAATTTTAAGCTTGCTATACAGGCTCAAGTGATTGGAAAAACTAACTATAGGCTACCAAACAAAGAATAAATCATGTCCTTTTCAGCCAAACAATGCCTCTATTGCTGTATTGCTGTAGCTCGCTGAGCTGTCATAAGCTGTATAAGGGAAGGGGTGGGGATAGAAATGGCCCATGACCATATTTTTGCAGTGATGTCACTGCTATCCCAGTCCCTTTGCTTACATGGACAGATATTCCCTGTAAGATGTATATACATGTTATCAGTGTTCAGAATGATAGAATACAAATGATTTACTTTTATGATTTTTTTTATCTATTAAAAACAATTTTCCCCACATACAGGTCATTATTATCTTAATTGATAGGTAGTTGTCTCCTGTGGTGCT